ATTTATTAATTATTTTGAAAAAAAATATTTTTATATTAATTTTAGAAAATAATTTCGTTTTTATTTTGAAATAAAAAATGGTAAGTAAATTGGAAATATTACCAAATGAAATATTGCTCAATATATTTGGTTACTTATCATGGAATAAAATCTTAATATCATTATGGTCATTAAATACACGTATTAATTCTCTTATTTATTTAATATTTTCAAAAGATAAAAATGGAATTATTCTTAATGAAACAGATTTATCTTATAAAACATTTTCTGAAATATTATTACCATTAATTTATAATTCATCATTAATTTCATCTGCTATTAAACATATTTGTTTTGATGGAATTAATTCAAATTCTTATAATCTTATTGATCAATCTTTTTTTTATAATAATAATAATATTCCTTATTTTCCTAATTTAAAATCAATTAAGATAAATCAATGTTTATTATCTCAATCATTAATTAAAACATTATCTTTACTTATTCAATATCAATTAGATCAACTTACACTATCAATAGATGAAAATACGATAAAATCTATTCGAGATCCAGAAGATCCACGGAGAATTATTCGTCATACAAGTAATTAATTATTATTCTTTTAGATCGTTGCGAAGTTAAATGTTTTTTGTTTTTGAGTTATCCTCAACATATTTCTGTTCAAAAAACAATTTTGTGAGATATTTTGTTTCACTTGAAAATTAATTGTAGAGACAAATTTTTCTCTGAGTTTTTGTGTAATTTAAATGTTAAGAATTGTATTAATTTTAATGGAAATATTAGATCGTTTGTTTGATTATAAACAGCCCAAACATTCTCATAAATCTTTTATAAGAAAATGTCTAATTATCAGAATCAAGTTTTTCATTTCATATGAATCGTATTAAAATCTCTTATCTTAATTTATATTTTTATAGTTGTTTAAATTTGATTGATATAATCATCCAATATCTTGAATCACGAAAAGGCATCAGTTTACTAGTTGAAAAAGAATTTCCTATGTAAATATTTTAGTCCAAAAAAGTAACTATTGAAAGTGAAAAATAGTACTTTTTTTTTTTCTTACATCGGTTGACATACGATCTTGCATAAGTATCTTTGTTACAGTTCACTTCACAATTGGACTCAACTTTGTTTTTTCTGAACTGAAATAGAACTCGATCCATTCCCAAAATGAGATAATTTTTGTTCAAGTTTCATTTATTTATTATTGAGGAAACAGTTGAACAATAATATACAATATCTAGTTAGGTAGAAGAGAAAAAATTCTTTTTTTAATGATACGTTAGTGTGCTGGACACAAGTATGAACCAGATAAGTTCTGGAAAATGAGATAATTTTTATGCAATTTAAAGTTAGTCATTATAGAAAAATTTTCATCACGTTATACATATGTAACGATTACGTAGATACGAAGTTCAAAAATTCTGAAAATGTTTATTCAAGATAATGTATGCAAGATGATTAGAAGAGTCCACTAGAGGAGACATCTGCTATATCAGAAAATCCCCGGAGAAAAACTGTTTTGTTCTCCGAGGATTTTCTGATGCAGTATGGGTTTCCTCTGGCGGACCTTCTCCTAAGCAGAGGAGATGTTCTGCAGAAAATACGATGTTGCAGGAAACCTAGAATCCTCTATGAATGTCTTAAAAAAGATATAATAAAAATTCGATACATCTCAGTATGAATTCAAATTCATTTAAATATTTTCTTAGAACTCAATGTAGTATATATAAGTACGAAAGTTATTGACAAGCGAATTTAATAATATCTTAAATGAATTTAAGGTAACTGAATAAAATGTTTTATTAATAAATGTGATTTATTTGGATGTTGAAAATTGTAATATTAATGATGAAATTCTATTTCTACTTTTTTCTTTGATATAAATTAGGGAAATCAATAATTATGTTTAAACAGCTCATACGTCAATTATTTTCTGACCGATGTCAATTAATGTTTGTTCGACTTGATGTTGCCGATGATGATCCTCCTATCAATATTCATCAATGTTTAGTATTATCATCTCATCCTTCTACAAAGTTAATTTCGAATAAGATTGAATATGGTTGTTTGACACTTCGTCATCTATATATTCGTATTAAATACACATGTTTTCTTGAACATCTTATTGAATATATACCCAATATTGAACGATTGTCAGTTATTTTTAAACAATCAATGGATATGGAACCTCGATCTAAGTCAGATATGGAAATATTAATAAAATCAAATGGAAATTGGTTTGAGAAGGTAAAATGAATGTATTATCATTAAGTTTTCATCTTTATTAAAAATTATTTTTAATAAAATAAATGTTCTTCATTTCTTTTTTTCCAATTGAGATTCGATCTTGCGTTCTTTATTTCTAGACGATAGTGCACGAAAATTTCGTAATAAAAGAGAAACTGTAATTGATTAGGAAATCAAAAACAACAGAACAGAGCTACAACTAAAAATAGTTAAAGAAAAGCTATCGGATCTTCGAAATTGTCTTCGAACAACATCTTATACTGCAAGATAGTCTCGCGTTATTGTTGTAGCACAGGCATCATCTTCAAATATATTTGATATATATGTTAAAAAATAGAAAGAAGGAGAAAGTGAAAATTGTTCGAATGAAAAATGGTCGCCGATAATTGGGCGATACGAAAATTGCGTGATACAAAGATTGGTCGAAAATTTCCTAATAAAAAGAACAAAAGCAATTCCTTGAACAGGATCTCAAACTCTGAACTGTATCTTGAGGCTGAGATGGGAGTGAAGGGGAAGATGAAGATGAGGATGAGGATGATGTTGAGGGTGAGGATGTGGACGATGACTCGGTTGTAGGTGTATTCTCAAGATAACCAATCTTACCACAACAATTGGAAGAACTTGCTCATGGTTTGGGTACTTCTATTCTTTTTTCGTGTTTGTCTAACTTAATTGTTTGAATCACTATTTTTCTCTAATATTAGCATATTAATATAATTAATGTTTATTTCGTTTTCGGACTTCAACGTTCGAGTTTCTGTTTAAGAAAGCTTTTATTCTTTTTATTACGAAATTTTCGACCAATTTTTGTGGATCCAGAAAGAAGAATAAAAGAAATTTTAGTTTGGCAATCAAAAGTGTTTGATATTCTTCGAATGAATTGATAAGTATCACTTGTTGAGAAAATTAATTTCTAATAAAATTAATATATTCAAAGAATAAATTTTCTTTTGTATTAATTATAGGTACCAAAATTGAATTATTTTACTTTAAAGACTTTAATTAATAATGATTTTCAATTAGCCTATTTGAAATGGATTCTTAATAATTTGAATCATATTCAAAAATTGAAACTTCATCTTCAAATTAATAGAATGGATTTGATTTCAGATTCAATCATTCAAATATATGTTGTTGATGCAAATTTTATTCGTCAATATTGTTTACCTGATGTAATAATTAATATAAAATATTTTCAATTTCATATAATTTCCCATTGTCAATTATTATCGTATAATATTGAAAAAATAATAAAATCGTTTAAAATTGATGAATTTTTTATTTCACGTCAATTGACAAATGTAACTTGTTTCCTTGATCCATTTATGTCATGTCAATATCTCTCTTCTTCTATTGTTAATATACCTCAATGGATAAATGGTTTAGTGTAAGTTAAACTTTTTTATTATAAGAATATCTATATGTTATTCTTTTAGTTTTCATCCAAGTATTTTGACTTGGCCACATATTCAGTATGTTTCGATTAATTTACATCCATCTGTTTATTTATTTCTTGAACGATTCAATGAAATATATCCTAATATTTCTCATATTAAAGTTTATACAGGTTAGTATAGTGATTTATATAAGAAAAAAAGAAACAAATAATCTAAGATTGCCTAGTCAAAGCTAGGTGAATCTAGGATGGAACTACGACATATGTATTATGTTTAATAAAATTTGATAACGGATTTAAAGAAAAATCATATTTATATTTATATAGGATCTTATGCAGATGTTAATGAGCCTGGCGTGCGTCTGTCATTAAGATTACCATTCAAAATAGGACAACGTAAAGTAGCTGATATTCAATTTCGAAATGTGACAAGACTTGATTTGGGATTTATTATTAATTGTGACATTGGTAGGTATTGATTTACTTTTTTTTTTGTTTTGAATTAAATAAGAATACAATTAATATTTATCTTTTACTTTGATCAATATAAACAAATATATAAATATAAAGTATTTGAGACAATGCATATTTACCAACTTAAAACTTTTTTTAAAGAATAATAACTGATGCACAAGTTCCCGTATGAATGTCTTTCTCTTATTCTTTTGAGAAAATAGGTTTCAGAAAAATGAAAAATGACTAACTTCTTCCATAAAATATAGATCCGTCCTAGTGGCGCAGCCAGGATTTTGAGCTAGGTGGGGGGGGGGGGGGGCTCAGCCCTTCTGAGGGACCTTTGAGCCCCGGTTGGCAAATAAAATGCATGGTTTAAAAATTTTCCTGGGAGTGGTTCAAAGATTTCTGGGGGAGGTGAGTCCACCCCTGGCTCCGCCACTAATCCGTCCTGTAATAGAAGTCTATTTCGAAAGTTGTGATTTTCTAAATATTTAGTTCTAGTTTTCTTTACATTCTTGAAATTGATCCTACTCTAGATTTTCTATTGACAAATAAAAAACTTTTTTCCTTAGCTAAAATATGTCTGCGTTTATGTATTAATAAGATCTAACTGACCTAGAACTATGAAATAGAAATTTGACATGTATTTATAATATTCTGTACGATATCTTGTGGGTATGGAATCATGCATAGTTAAAAAAAGAAATGAAATCATGAAAAACTTTGTTAGTTTAAATAGAAATATGCGCAAATCTTTCTCTGAAAGATAAAACATCTCACAAAATTAAAAATAATCGGTTATGATTTATATGATCGTTTTAATATTGGATATTATACCATTCATTAGCTAGAAATTATTTTTCACACGAAACTATAATTTTCTTATTGTGTTATCAATGACTTATGTATGTTATATAATTATCTGTCAAAACGATTAAGAGAGGATCCACGATAGCACCGACC